AGCCAGCAGCCACAGGGAAGCTGTACCAGTTCACCTCCTAGTGAAAGTAGGTGGCTATTCAATCCTGACACATGCCCTAGTTAGGATCCTGGATTCTCCAAAGAGTTTGGCTCTGGATTTAATTAGCAACCAGAAACTGCACTCTAGATTTAGGTCTGAAGTATAAAAAGTAAAGCTTGCTGCCTCTAAATAACTTTTTAAAGTTCCCTTGAGAGTATTTAATGGAATACACTATCCACTTTTCAAGATGGGTGGTGTCCAAACATTTAATTTGAACAAAATTATAGCTGGAAGTCAAAGATACAAAATAGAAAACACGAGAACTGCTCTTAGAAAAGGGAGGGGCTGAAGGATCTGGAACTCCCAAATAAAAGCACTCCCTTCAATGACATGTAAGACATACCACACAGCACAGATGGGAAACTACTGCTCTAGATGCTCTTGACCAATGCTTTCCAGTAACTTTTTGATGGAAATGGTCTGTATTTGCGTGTAGCTATAGAGTACTTGAAAACTGAGTTGCTAATGCGGCCGAGGAACTAATTTTGACATTTGACTTAATTTTAATAAATTTAAGTGTAAATAACCATATAAGGCTACAGCTACCATACTGCACAGTTATAGACTCTACCCCTGGATTACAGTTATGTACCTGAACTGCATTCCACTGGCTATCCGCAGTACTACACTTTGGTATGATGGCAATAGCCTATGTTAAGGGATAATATAAGATAGCCTAAAGTACCTGGACCATGTCACTATTAGGTAACTACCATTCTTTACATTAACTAACCCTCTTTGAGGATCCATGAGAAAATTTCCTTCTGATCTTAATTATGCTTCTTCTAAACAACTGATTTGTTCTCAGCATACAGATACTGAATCCTTCAGTTGGCTACTTCCCTTTTCACAACAGCTGCCAAATTTGTAGTTTATCTCTAGAAGGTCATTGGGGCTTCATGCACACACAGAATAAGCTCATTTCTCTTTTTATTTTCTTACCTTTATTTTCTCTCTGCCTCACTTCTTAAGCCTATTTTTCATTAATTTTATCTTGCTATACTACATGCATTTTTACAAGATGCTTTAAATACTCTTTGGTTTGGGGTAGGGCATAAATGTATAGAAAAATAAATGTCTTGTAAGGAAGAAGAAAAATGACTTCTAGAAATTCAACAAATATTTATTAGATGCTTTGCCAAGTTTTGGGTGTTTTAAATAATGCTATTATTTCCAGAAAGAGAAAATGAGAAGTAGAGCAGGTTTAGGAGAACACAATGAACTCAGTTTTGGACCAATTTGCTTCTGAGAGCAAATATCTCCATATGGATGGAAAATAAGCCAGGACTCAAGGTTGTAGACAGAACACCTACGTAGCACTTACCATATGCCAGGCACTGTTCTGAGTGATGTACATATTTATCAACCTGTTTAATCCTTACGACAACTGTATGAGGTATGTACTATTGCCTTCACATTATAAAAACTGAAGCACAGAGAAATGGCAGTTTGCCCCAAAGTCACATAGTTAATATATGATGAAGCCAAGATTCAACCCAGGCAGAGCCCGTATACTTAACTTAGCTTTAAAAAAAAAAGAAAAGAAAAAAAAAGGAGCCCTAGGCTTTTGGTCCTGGGTCTGCTACTGTTAACAATCATAACTCCAAAAATCTAACAAACCACCTTCTGAACTCTATTTCTGATTGTGTAACAGAAGAATGTTGTACTAGAATTTTTTATGGTCCAATCTAGTTTTGAAACCTTATGGTTCTATGCAGAAGACAATCTTTATGTTCCATTGTCTTGCTTTCATCTTTATCTACTCCCCATCCATTTCTTCCTATAATCTTTCCTATTACTTACTAATGGATGTTTCTCAGAGGTGTTTTCCCCTATAAAATTCCTTTGTAATCTCTCATTACAACTCTAGTTCTGAATCATGCTCAGTAGCAAGCTTCATTTATGTGCATTATCACACATTATAGTGACAGTATATTATATAAATTCCGGTACTTACTTTCAGTAATAACCCCAGATTATCAATGTCAAACAACCTAAAACCAACTCTTCCCATAATTAAAAAGCTGGATCTTCCCTAATATGGTATACCCATTTCCCCACAAAGCTTCACAACACAACGATCATCTTTCCAGAAAAGATAATGCTCCTAGTACCTGTAGAGGTTAATATCTGCAAATGATTTGCTATTATTGATGGCAAATACACAGAGGAAGCCTTCGCCTGTCCTCATGTATTGGTCTCTCATGGCACTGTACTCCTCTTGTCCAGCTGTATCCAGTATGTCCAACAGACAGGTTTCACCATCTATAACCACCTGTTTTCGGTAAGAATCCTGGGGATGTGGAGGGTAGGAAGGTGGGAAGAGAGGAAGATTCAATTTTTATTAAAAACCACAGGGAACGCAATGCTATTGCCAAGGTTAAATAAACTCCTAACTATTCAAGCCCATTTCTGTCTCTCTGGTTTGTCTCTCAAACTGCTAATATGTCATCACAAACAGAAAGTACTCAATGAAACCCTAGGAAAAAAAGCCCCAAATCGTATATGCCTGTGGAAAAGAAAATGTGGTTACTCTGTTCCTGGAAAAAATGAAAAAAGAAAAAACAAAACAAAACACAGCAATTCAAACAGCTCTGTTGCAGTTAGGAGACTAGAGATTAAGTTCACAGTGTATTTTACTAAGTTATGAACTGAACTGTTCTATTTGAGCTATTTAGTTTACTTTTAAAATCCTAAACATACCTCAACTAATTATAAGCTGGCCCTAGATATAGCTCATTAGTGTTTATTTTAATATCTTTTGTTTCAGGGAAGGTTAATAATACCAAACTTTTTTTTCTCATCATGACGAATTAAACCTTCATGAAATTTTCCTGAATCAAATTCCTCAAGGTTCCAAACAAGGTACGGTTATAATTAATTCCTCAGAAAGACAGACACGCATAGATCATATAAAAAAATACCCCCAATTTAACTTTAAGGCTTTAATTGTATTTTAATAATGTCATCACATTTGGGAGAATTCTCTGGAGTATTAGAAATGGTCTATATTGCTATTTGGGTGGTGATTACATTAGTACATACAAATGTAAAAAGTTATTGAGCTGTAGATATAAGATTTATATAAGATTTGTATTTTGCTTGTGTCAACTGTCCCTCAATAAATAAAACTCTGAAAAATATTGATTAAAATATTAAAATTTTAATATAAGATTATCAAAGCTGTTAAGCCTGAAATAAAGATTTTGCCAAGGATTAGCAATCAATTTTTAACAGTGACCATATTCGTTTGTGTTAATTAACCACTTTGTAGCCAAGTAGTAGGGAGGCCAGGGTATGGATTAACATAAAATAATATCGAGTTAGATACTTCTAAATTGAACAAAATTATAAAACCTTTTATTTAAAGGGCCTTAAATGTCACTTACTGAAGACAATCAGTAACATGTACTCCCACAATAACAATAAAATCCTTAAATACTATCACACAGTGCTTACCATTCACAAATAATTTAAACATTAGATTTTTCACAATGTCCCTGTGTGGTAGGCAGGACAAGTTTATGGTAATTTAACAAATGAGGAAAATGAGGCTCAGAGAGATTAAGTGATTTGCTTAATACCACATAAACAAACTGCAAACAGGGACCAAAATCCCAAGCACAGTAACTCAAAATGTCATGTTCTTTCTACTCCAACCCAGTCTCAGCTGCTTCAACTAGCTAAGAAATGAAAATTGAACACCCAGATCTCTGAATCCTTTATCTCCATCTTATTATCTCCTACACAATCAGTCTCTCTCCCTGTGGTTTGTGTTATCTGTTTAATGGAGCTGTCATATAAGAAGAAACTGAGTTCAACACTAAGTTTGGAACAGTTTACACAACTGTTAAATATTGTAAACTTCTTAGAAAATCTTCAGCCACTAATAAAGATGAACTCTTCTCTACAAATATGGCAAGCTTCGTTTATTGTATACTGAATGTATTACACAAAATAACTTTTATTTTCTTTCCTCTTATTTCTGCAACTGAAGAATGGATAAAGGATATGGGTAAGGGTAAACTGAAAGTGAGAGCTTGGGTCAGGTCAGCAGACTACCACTGGGCCTCACCTCTATGGTTGGATCATATTCATCTACAAAGTGGTTCTGGATTAGCTGGATTGTCAGTGCACTTTTCCCAACACCACCTGCTCCAACCACCACCAGTTTGTACTCAGTCATTTCACACCAGCAAGAACCTGTGGGAAAGCAGCAATTAGGATTAACTGGAGAGCCACATCTACAGTACTTCAAAGCTTTCTGTAATCAATAGTAACTAGAACCAGAGTTCGACGCGTAATCGGTTCCATACACGTGACCCTCCACTTGGTCGTTAAAGTGATTCAGGAACGAAGAAACATATGCAGGTTAGCGTTGGCCTCAGATTTCTAGCTACCCCCATCCTTTCCTATTTTTCCATAGTCTTTGTGCCCCGCCCTCAGCCTAAGGTAAAGGAAACCCTCCTCTCTACTCCTCCCCCAAGTGTTCTCAGCTCTGGAAGGTGGCCTTCAGGCCGCGACCCCTTCCCTCTTAAGATCTCTCCACGTAGGACCCAAAACGAAGGACCCCCGCCCAAGGCCTTTGTCTCCAGCTCGTAGATTCTGTTCGATTCCTGGCATCACCGAGACGCCTCTATGACCCAACGCCGAACGCTACGCACTCCAGAACCTTACCTCAAGCTCTGCTGCCTCCGCTTCGGACGGATTTAGAACCGCAACCGCGAAAATTGCTAGAGACCCCGGAACCGCCATGAACAGCCCCCACCAGGGAGCGGCACTTCCGGCCCCACCCGCTACGTAATCAGTCCGCGCCCCGGGCGCCCGAGTCCCCGCCCAGGCCACGTGGGCCTCTGACCTACGAGTCACGCGGCTGGCCGCACCCAGACCCGCCCCTCCCACACTGGACGTTTCAATAATGAAACTGCTAGGTGCTAGTGTCTCAAAAATCAGTAAAACTTTATTCGCTTCCATTCTTTCGCCATTAACAGAGAACTGGAGAAAACAAAATGTTTTGTGTTTACAAAGATAAACGGCCTTTTTACCCAGAGATCAAAACCTCAATCGACAGCGGGGAAGATAAAAGCGCCCCCCCATCCCCTGAGCTGACCCTTGTCATCTTAGACAAAGCCTTCAGTCCACTGGCCAGGGACCCTGTATGTGCCCAATTTAAGATGAGGGCCAAGAAATCAGACCAATCCGTTCCCGTGATATAAAGTCGAACAGAAGCTACGCCAAGGGTCAAGTGCCTGTATTCTACAGGACACAGGAACCAGGCAGCTAGTTATTTAAAAAAAAAAAAAAAAAAAAAAAACAAGATTCATTTCAGGCACAATTTTTTTTATTTTTTTTTCATTTTGTTTTTAAATCAGTAAAAGAAACTGGGTCCTAGAAGCTGCAGTGATCTAAGCAGCAGCAAGTTTGTGCATTCGTCTTTTTTGTTTTTGTTTAAATACGTTTAAATTATCACGCTGCTGGCATACCTCATTTGCATGAAATTCTGCACCATAGTACTAACTGTAGTAAAGTTACCCCCCATCCCAGGGAAAAAAAAACTACTCTGGAAGATAATTTTCACTGAAATCTAATCAAACTTCGTTAAGTGGATTGTGACAAGATTATAAATGATATGAAAAATAACAGTTTAACATTTGGCCATCAACTTAAGAAAATGGTTTGCCCATACAGATTTCTGTTATTTTTAAAAAGTAATATATTCTACCCTCATATGGTCCTCAGAATTAAAGCATAATGAACAGGAAAGGAAAAGAATGCAACTGAGTGCTAAGGCAGAACATCTTGCCAGAAGTAATGAAGGTAGAGTATATACTAAATATCAAGTGCAGAATTTCATAGGGCCAACAAGATAACAGTCTATTTTTCACTTACACAGGCGAAGTGGATTTTGCAATTACCAGTTGCGTTAAATGCACCAAAGAAAGCTCCTAAAATTGATACTATAAGGCGCCACCTTAAGTTTTCCAGGCTGCAACTGTGCATAATTTTAAAATGGTTTTCTTAAATTTATTTATTTTTTTAAACATAACACGAGGAAGGTGTTAAAACTGGTGTAATAGCTCAATAGAGTAAGTATTCCAGATTTTGGGAGGGATGAAAAGGGAGATATTCAGAACCCTTCACCAGAATCCCCCCAACTTGATCATAGTGGATTAATGATGTGCTTTCTAGATGTGGTTAGTCAATGACTCCAGCTTGACGGATCTTTCTTTCTGCACCAAATCCCTGTGAAGAAATAAAACTGGAGTTAATGACTTGGGTGCGTGACAATCATGGTACATTCACAATTCTAAAATGAACTATGAAAGCATTATTTTTAATCATCTTAACCACTACCAGTTTTTTCCTAGAGAAGGAAACCTATAGTAAGCCCTCCTGGCCCATTAGCTATGCTATGGTCAAAGTATAAGGAAAAGAAAGAAATGTGCTTCTTACTGTAAGCAACCATTACGTCAGGGGCTGAACCAATGTGTAAGAAAGAAGTCCTAACTAGTTATAAGCAATATTGATCCTCCCTGCCTCATTAAGCTGTCCGACCTAAGCTGAAATAGGACCTCAGACAGTAAGTTGGTCTCTCAACTAGCCTCTTCAAAGCCTTGTATAGCCTCATACCATTGAGTTATCTGGTCCCCTTGGCTGACGAAGAACCATTAGGCGAGGAGCACTAGCGTCATCCAGGGTGATGTTCTTCAAGCGGTTGACCAAGCGGTCAGGTCGAGGAGCTGCAACAGCCTTGGGGCCCTCACTGAAATAAAGTAAAGAGGTGAGAAGGAGCAACTCTTGGTGGGAAGAAAGCAGGTACTTGCAGAGGACTGTGTTTTTCTGTTTAACTACCCAAATGACTCACTTTTAATGAGGTAATAACTCTTGCCTTCTGTAGCTAGCTGGCAAGACCAGACAGACAAGTTTATTTATATATATGTATTTTTCCCAAAGTTCCAACTGAATAGGCTGAAAGAATCATTTGGGTGAGAGTCAATGCTAAACTTGTCTACAGAGAGACCAGTTCCACAGAAGCACAGAACAAAGTAGCAGATGTGAAAACTCTTAGAAAAGTGAAATATGAAGTAGTTCTTCAGATTCCCAGCTCCTCTCTTGATAACAATGTCGAAAAAAGGGTGTGGGGGGGGGGGGGGAGCAAAATATAAGAGGATGGCTAAGCTATAAAAATTAGAATTTCAAGCACTATACAACCTAGAAATGGCTTAATGAAAGGAAGGAGCTAATAACCAAAATTCCTTAAGAGCAGGGACACTACATAATCTTGTTACATTTAAGATCTAGCATACATAGTGCTACCATAGCAAAATGCCCAACCGTTTCACTGGGTCAAGCTTATGAGACTTAAGGTTAGACAATGAGGACCAGGGGTAAAGAAGATAAGACTAGAGGTAGTATCAAGAAATAACCAAAAAGTGGCAGAAGAGGAAGAAAAAAACAGGCATGAAAAAGTAATGTGATAAAGCAGAGACTATGGAAATTATAAGAGACAGTACTGGGTGGTTACTAATGCAACCACAACAAAAAACTCACCAGACTCGCCAAACATTACAGGCGCTGCACTTGCCAGTGCGCTGATTAAGAATCACTGAGAACTCCACCTCATCTCCTGCCTGTAGCTCAATGCCATCCTGAACTTCTTTCACATGGAAAAAGAGCTTCTTGCTATCTCCTACTTCATAGTTAATGAAGCCAAACTGGAAAAAACAAAAACAGTCGCTAAAAAAGGGAGACATACCACAGGGAAGGAAAGCATCTCAGTTTGAGTAAAGCATAATGCCTGACCCTAACTAGAAGGGGGATTTATAAAGCACGGTATTAATGTTGATGCTCCAATTCAGCTGCCGTGCAACAAAACTTGTACGGGGAAGAAGCTTCTTTTCGAAATCACCGCCATTCACTATATCATAAGCTTGACTGGAATAAAGAAAGGTTGCCTTGTTCCTTCAAATATTATGAGCTAAGTTTTTTAATTAAGCAAAATCATGAGGGAGCCATTATTTGAACTCTTCAAGAATTATTAAAATGGGTTATGGTATTATAGGATACACCCATACAAAATGTTATATTCACTGTACTGATGTTGAAAAACGTTCTTAAAATTCTTAGGGATTTCTCTAAGATCTCAGTACTAGGATTATTTTTGCTTGCCTTAAGCTTATTTTATGAACACGTCTAAGCATGGTTTCTCTCTTTGTGTGGTCTACTAAAGAAGATCTGAGTGCAAGTGTACAAAAACTTATAGTCCTTCTATTCTGGAAATCTCACTTCAAACTTATTTTCACCACTCTATAATGTTATCTTACTCTTATTTTCTCTTTGCTAATATAGTCACTCCTTTCTCTTTATGTGGTTTTCTTCCTATTTTTATAAGCTACCTCAAATCACTGAAAAGGGGTAAAGTAGAAGTAAAAGTCAAATGAATGTTGATGCTTCCCTCTTGGCTGAAAAAATTTCAAGGTTTTTGTTACCAACTCATAAAAGGATCAAATTCAGGGCCGGCCCGGTGGCGCACTGCTATAGTGCGCCGCTTGGGAAGCGTGGTGGCGCTCCCGCCGAGGGTTCAGATCCCACATACAGCCCGGCCGCTCACTGGCTGAGCGAGGGGCGGGAGCAACACCGAGGGTTGCGATCCCGTGGCCGGTCCCGGTCCGGGCGCGACACTGAGGGTTGCAATCCGTTGCCGGTCACGAAAAAAGACAAAAAGGGAGAAAAAAAAAAGGATCAAATTCAGATCCAGAGATGCTGGCACTTACCTGATCCTTCACACACTCCACTGTGGCCCTACGCAGAGGTGTGATATTGTAGGCCATAGTTTGTGCATTTTGGCCTAGGACACACAATTGGAACTTGACACTCTCTCCTTTCTGCAGGCAATCCCCTTTGTTGGCCATCCCAACTATGCCAAATGGATAGACCTCACCTTTCATATCCCCTGTTAAGGAGAAACAGAACAAAATCTAAAAGCTAATATTTCACAACAGCCCTCTGCAAGTTTATAGTTGCTAAAAATGTGTTTTATGTTCCCTAAAAATACATAATTTTTTAATTGTGAGAAGTTTCACTTTAAAGATTAAATGAAACCCTAAATGTACTAACATGGAAACAAATGAGAACCTGATAGTTCATTAGTACCTTACTAGCTAACCAACAGTTTCATACTGCACTTAGAAATTTTAAAAATAACACTATCACTTACAATCCCATTACAAGAAAAAATAAGCACTATGGGTTGCCTATATTATCCACTGGACTATCTTCTTCCCAAGTTAACAGTATGAGCCAATCAGCCAAAAAAATTTCTGCTCCACATTCAACTGGGCAGTAAATAACTAGTCAGGCATCGGCAAAACAACATAGATAACTTTCTCTGACACCCCACCTCCTTTCTTTGTTCTGATTCGGGTTCTTTCAAACTAACAGGCTCCTTTCTTGTAGATCAGGGCTCAGCAACTTCTTCTTAAAGGGCCAGAGAGCAAATATTTTAGGCTTGCAAGTCATCCTGTCTCTGTCACAACTATTCAATCCTTCTGCTGCAGTGAGAATAGCTGTGGCTGTTTCAAGAAAACCTTATTTATGAAAACAGGCCACCATATTGACTGAGCTCTGGCCTGCAGTAAAAAAGTTGCCTGGAGGCCAGTGCAGGCTACAGATAAAAACTGGACTAAGGAGTTCAGCTGCTTATCAATTCAGCATTCAGGTGAATTCACTTAATCAATAAAGATGGAGAAGAGAAAAATGTCAGGCTGGAAGTGGAAGCTTCAGAACTGGACACTCTTTTAACCACTTCTGATGATTATAGGGGTTAAGTGAAGATTAAAAAAAAAATATCACACAAAATCAAAAACTTTGAGGAGATAATTACAACAGATCAAGTCATGCAGAACAGTAATTACAGAGAGCTGGTCTGACCTCATGGTATAACAGTAACTACCATTTATTAAGCATGTATACTGAATCCTACTTCATCTTTATAATAAGAACCTTCTAAGGTTAAAGATATTATCCCTATTTTAAAGATAAACAAACTGAGATAGGAAAGATTTGAGTAATTTGTATAGTTATACTGTTAGGAAGTGGTGTTGAGACCTAAGTCGTCAGTCTCCAGTCTTATGTGGAGTCACAGTTGTGTTCCTAAGTAAAAGAGCTGTTCTTACCATCAAGTGGGAAAATGTGACCTGTCTAGTCTCAGAAAACTAGGCTTGCAGATGTCAGAAAAGTTTCCTTTTCCACACAATCCTTGCTTTGGACTATATCCTATAGATGGAGTTGAAGAAGGGGGCTGGGGGGAAAGGAAGGAAGGGTGGCTCATTGGAGAAGGAGGATGATGGGCAATTTGATATTACCTCATGAGTGTGTTTGTAGCCCATACTCCCATGACCTTTTTAGTAGTATCATCATGGCGTTAGTTTAAAAGACTGACTTGCTGTAAAATCAATTCATATTGGAGGTGGGGAAGGGAGGTAGGAGTGATTTTACGTAAAGGAGAAATTCCTAAGAACCCATGTGGTAAAGGAACAGCTCATCAAGGTACATTTTCTTCTCCCAAATGTCCTGTCCTTTCCCCACTTTATGTTTTCTGATTCTTAGATGACAGGATTTATTCTTTGTGAGCCACACCATCACCTTTGGTTGAAATTTCAAACCGTCATCTATGCCACCCATTATGTATACTTCTGCTATTTTGTCATTCACAGAATTCCCTCCTATTTTTATTGCAAATTATTTTAAGCACACAGGCCACACAAAGTTGATCTTTCTGGTAGTGACTATTGGGGGGAAGGATGGCACCAGAAATCAGGAAATTCTTGAAGATGGGGAGAAAAAAAGCAGAAAGTGTAAAATCTAGGGAGCGTTGGCCTGGACATGATAAGTAGGATCCCCATGAAACCTAACTATTAAATAAATATAGTAAACTTTTAGAGGAAGCCAAAATATAGAATTAAATGGTCACTGATATGAATAACTAGTGAATAACAGAAGAAACTGTGAATACTAGCTTATCACACACTCGACGTTAAATTCATATTTTTAGTATGAGATTTTGTTTGCAGTCTACCTCCATATAACTCAGAGTTGGTTGCTCATATATCAGTCACGTGCTCACACACCAGTCATTTGTTCACAACTTAAACCCAGGTATACCTCATTTCTAAGGGATACAAAAATGAAAAGCACTCATGGGGTGGGGGGAGAGTGGAGCAACTTTTAATTCAATTTTTAAGAAACCTAAATACAAGTACAATGAACACCATCATATTTTAAAACCTTGAAAGTGCTCATCTGAAGGTATGGCAAATTTTGAACCATCTGGTAGGGATTCACTTACCCTCCTCCACGATCTCAATCATTCCTTGGTACTCAATCTGTGTTGGATCAACACCCCTCAGGGGGCGAATGACTTTACCAGAGTAGATGGTGGGATCAACTTCCTCAGTAATGCCATTCACTGCAAAATGAAAGCACGTATACCTCTCACTGAGTTTTACTTAAACTCTAACCCACAGGCAAAAAAGCAAGCAAAAAATATCAGCACAAATGTTAACACAGGGTGGGTTGGTTGCCTACTATTCTTGAAATGGGACTTGGAACCTGAAGCCACGTTCTATTTCTGGAATGGTCACTTGACCATAAATATTTCTAAATTACCTTTAAAATACCTGATTTTACTAAATAAACTTAACTTGTTTAAAGAATTAACAAGTATTCATATTTAAAACATGTCTTGCTCTCTCACCTTTTCTAGGTGACCAAATATCATCTTTTTAGTGAGGCCTTCCCTGGTCTCTAAAATGGAAATCTCAATATTCACACACTTTCCTGTTTTTATCTTTACGACATACATTACTATTTTTCTAAATATACTACATACAATATTTTACTTATCTAATATCTGGTATCTTCTACCAAAAAATAAGCTCCATGAAAGTATTCATAAAATGAATTTGAGCTGTCATTTCACCAAAAGAAAGTGTTATTTCATTTAGATGAAAGCCAAAAGTAACTTAGAGGTCTTTTAAAAGCCAGAGATCCTAAATAGCAATGGTTTTCTTCATTCCTTATTACTTTCTCACATTTGGACTCATTCTTATCAGGGAATGCCTCTGTCCCAAACCCCAGGAAGATTTATATATATCTTGGGGTTATTTTTTAAAAAGAGACATTGAATGGAATGGAAAGTAAACTTAAAGCAAATGACCTAAAATATCTAGAACAGTGTTTCTCAAACTTCGGTATACACCAAAATCACCTGAAGGACTTAGCAAAACAGTGCGTTGCCTCGAGTTTCAGTAGGTCTAGAGTGGGGTTAGAGAACTTGCATTTCTAACAAGCAGCCAAGTGACGCTGCTGATCTGGGGATCACACCTGAGAATGACTGACACAGAACAACTGGGTCATATATTCCTCTGCCACCTTATTCCTTATCTCCCACTCAAAGCACAGGCTGAATAAACAGAAGTCACAATTCCTTACCTGAGTGTGCTTTGCTCACTTTTTCTGCACTGACTTTGTTGCCTTTGCCTTTAGACAAGCTATACTCGACCATGTCCCCCAGTTCCAGGCTATCAACATCACCAGAGAACTCACTAAGAGGAAAGAAAATGACATTTAAATAAGCCATTACCACAAACATCAATAGCAGCAAGTAGTCTTTATTTCTTCTATAACAACATTCATGGTATGCTTCCTTATGATGGACACCACTTTAAGTATTTTATATGTATTGACTCATTTAATCCTCAAAAACACCCTATGAAGAGGTACCATTATCCCCAGCTTCAAGATAATGAAACCAAGATATCAAGACATTAATTCACTTGATAAAAGTTACACAGGTAGTAAGTGGCAAAACCTGGATTCAAAACCAAACCATCTGGTTCTAACAGCTCAGGCTCTTAACCACTGTTATGTTACATATCAAATGAACAACTTTCTGGTACCAACCTATAAAACAATATTCTCTGACTGAAGCAGAAATGCTCCTATCCAGTGTTCAAAGACACAGGACTTTCTATGTCTCTTGACCACATGGTCTATGTAGAGGTAGATGATTAACTTTAGTTTATATCTTGCCATAATTTAACCAATATGAAATCTAGGTTTCAAAAAATATAATTGGGCTGGCTGGTCAGCTCGGTTGGTTAGAGCACAGCCTCGTAACATCAAGGTCAAAGGTTCAGTTTCCTATACCGGCCGGCTGCCAAAACAAAACAAAACAAAAACCCACAGAAAATATAACTGACCAACACTAAATGTTTTGACTCCAATACAAAATAATAAATAGTAAGCTGTAAGTTCCTAAAAGTCATTCCATACCTGTAATGGAAAAAGATTTCCTTATCATGATTGGCTGTTTCAATAAATCCAAAATTATCCTTCAGAGTTGCCACATAACCCAAGAGCCTCTTGGAGTTGGAATTACGACCCAGAAGTCGCACACAAGTTGCAATCTGCTGTCCAGGCCTCTGTTTATCACTAATACTAAATTCAACCTGTGAAAGATATAAGGATGCTCCTTAATACACCACATCATTTCCAAGTCAAGCTCCTTAACTTTGAAAATAAGACCTCTTACTCCTCCAGACCATGCTTTCCACTCCAAATATCCTGTGATTACTTTGATGAAATACAATTTCCCCCAAACTAACACCTCTATGTCTCATTCCACGTTTACAAAGCAGCAGCTTTTGTCCTTCAGTGTGTTTTCCTTTCAGATTCTTAATTTCTCTAAAGGAGGGCTATCTGAAAACCGGACGTATTAAACATGAGAAAAAAAAAGTGAACAGCAATGTAAAGTCTTTGGTATGATTTTACTTTGATGATTTGTAACTATTTTAACTTTCTTAATGATATTATTAATTTTATGTAAGGTAATGGTTTAGTGTATCTTTTCTAAGACTTAAATACTGATTCCTCAAGAAAGCTTTAACAGCTTGCTAGACCCTGTTTTAACTGAATAAGCTGCTTTTAAGTAGGAAGATATTCGTATATTTAACTTGTAAGCACGAAAAGGTACTTCAGCAAAATCTGTTAAAATTTAAAGAAACCATCTTGTAAGATTTATGATTAAGATGGCAAACTTTAACCCTCTCTCAAATAAGCAGAATTATCTTGCCTTATCTCCTATTTGAGGAGAAGTAGATCCTTCCACATCCTTGGCTTGAAAAGCAATAGTCAGTTTCACTCCACAATCATCATAAGCAATAATGCCATCCTCAGCCTCCTAAAGAGAGAAACAGTCAGAATACAATGAAAATAATCTCAAGAACAAGAAAGCAACATAAGCAGCTATAGTTCTTACAGACTCTCGAGCCAAAGCATTGGCACGGCTATAGAAATTTCTTATTCCAGGGTTCTGTAACAATAGCAGATTATTCATAGGAATAAAAGGTGGTCTTGCTTTTAACCCAGAACCAGCTCAATCTGCTGTAACAGGGTCTGTTAGTGTTAACAACCTGACTTGCACTGTTGAGGAGGGAAAGCTTATTGAAAATACAATACACCTATCGTATACTCCTCACAGCTGATCAGAAATCAAACTAGGCATGTTATTTCCAACCAGATGAAAATTCTGTAGTGCAAGAAACTTCAGTATCCTCTGAAAAATCTTTAGTTTCTCTCCTAAACACCAGAAAAAGTATCCTCTTTAGTATCACACAGTATTTTGAGGTGTTTTATACATAATGTTAATCTATATATTACCAATGCATGAGAATTTAATTTGGTACAGGACCTAGCACAGTTCAGAGCATTTAATACAGCAGTTGATTAAGTTATGATAAACCCGTATTTCCACAGTAGCATTTAAATCATTGTCTTAAACAAGAATGATTAGCTCTTTAAAAGTCTAAAAAAGTTCAGGTATGTCATGCAGAATCATACAGTAAGTAGTGACATTGTACAACAATTACACAAATTATACTGTTTTTGTTTTCAAAATCATTTCTATGGGGATAATGGCCACATCCCCAACCTAGATCTGACCTTTCCTAAGCTCCAGATCTCATTACCAACTATTACATATTAAAAACAAATTCATTTATACTTTTCTACCATTCATACTTATCCTTCTATAACTGTTATATAGTAATTATTTATTAAATATTTATAACATACCAGGCATTGTGTATTATCAAATTTAATGTTATGACAAAACCATTTCCAGAGTTACTTTTCTCCCTCATTTTACAAGTTGGGAAAGTCTTAGGAAGTTAAATAAACTTGAACACGGTCACAAAGTCAGTGCAAAATGATACGGAGGATTTGCATTTGGTTAAGTGAAAAGCAATGATGTCAGTGAACTCAGGTCTTACTATGATGACTATTTCTCTGCAAGGATGCATTCTTATTTGCTCTCAACGCTTTTTGCCACCAACCTCAATATCCAGTCAACACCTAATGATATACTAGACACCAAGTAAGTATGTTAAATAGAGTTAAGTCAATCCCTGCCTCTAAGGTGCCAAACGCAGTAGAGAAGAGATTCATAAACAGGTAAGTATAATACACGGTAATATGCACAATGACAGAAGGACTTACTAGGATATAGTGCTGACCAAAGAAGAAAATAATAAAAGGGCAGGAAAAGTCTGACACAACAGCTGTCTTTATCAAGCTAATTTTGCCAAAGACGTTTGAGAAGCAAGGTATTCCAAAAGCTAAAAGCCATTAAAAATAAGCCTCATTTAACTTTTATTGTTGTTAATACTATCAACTACCACATGTGACATTCCTATCACTGTGAGGGCTTTTTATACAAAACAGGAGATAATCATTTTTTAAGTTTAAAAACCGAAGCTCAGAGGTGAAATTTCCCAAACTATCCCTATAAGATGCTATCCCCTGCTTTTTCTGGCAAACTAGTTATTTTTAAATTATGTGACTTTCCAGCAACTTATGTACCTTCTCTTTTCTACATTCATTACCTCTGTCCCTAGTTCAAGGACCATCTTAACTGTTACATAATTTCCTATGAATCCTCTTCATCTTTTGTCATTTTCCACCCCCATCTAGGCTTTCTACTACCTCCATTATCTTCCCAAAGCACACACCTAATGTCACTTTCCAAGAGAAATCTTTCAGAGTGCAGAACAAGGTCTAAATTCTTTAGAATAGCAATCAGCACCCTCCCAATCTAGATGTATCATGATTTTCATCCTTACTTCCCTTATCCTCTCTCACCAAAAATAAGAAACCCATCTTCCTGTCAAACTACTCAGTTTTCTAAAGAAACTCTAAATTTTTTTCACCTGTACTACTCTGTGAGAAATGATCTTTCCTATCTCCACCTAGTAAATGTCAATACTTTAGTGAAATCATCCCACATCCTTCCTGTTAGAATTAATTTTCATAAAGAGCATTCTCACTGACCTTTAATGGAAACATTTTTTATTCTTTATGAATTAATTACCATACAACTCTCTCAATTTGTTATTTACTTGAGAGCAGAAGCCATCAGACATCTTGGTATTTCCTATTCAGTGGATTTTTCAATAAAGTTCAAATGTGTAAACTGAGTCTACTCAACTTTGAAAGTTTTAGTTTTCTTGGAAAACAAGCACTATCATTTTAGATGGGTTGTTCAACTGGGGCTGATTTTGCCTCCCAAGGGAAATCTGGCATGTCTGGAGACATTTTTGGCAGTCACACTAGGAAGCAGAGACACAAGGATGCTGCTAAACATCCCACTCTGCACAGCAAGAATTATCCATCACAAAATATCAACAATGTTGAGGTTAAGAAACCTTGCTTTGATTAGCTCACTGTTAATACTACAGGGAATTTTGAAAGAGTCAATACTCCAGTATTATGTGGATTACATTACTATCTGCCTTTAAGCGCAAGAGGAATAAAGAGCTATAAAAATCATTTTAATCATGTAAAACTTACCTTCTCTTTGCCTTTATTTGGGCTAGTGGTTTTAGGATTGGAAAAAGTGGCTTCTTTTTCTACAGTGCCCAAAAAACGATGATCTGGGTGGGAATGGAATGAAACCGTGCCCTTGGGAAGCTTTTTAATCCTAACAGCATGATTTCTTTGGGCAGAGAGCATATCCTACAATTGATTAAAAAAACACAAAAAAACTTTACACTGAAAAAAAAAAAAAAAAAGCATCAGAACCACTCCCTTTCCCACACTTTTCTCAAAAAATGACTCACAGGAACCACAGTAAACTCTACTTCATCTGCAATATGGAGCTGGTTCCCATCCAGAATTTCACTGAAGTGGAAGAACATACGAGCATCACGGTCTACACACTTGATGAAACCAAAACCATCTCTCATGGCGGCAATCACACCCTGAAATGCAAATATTTTTATTGGCTGTGAAGCTTGTCAAGTAAGGCAACATTCAATTTTGAAAGCACCAAGTTAAATTCATTAGGATTTTCTCTGTTAATGGCCCAAACACTGTATGCATATTTTATTTTTTTCCATCAATAATTTAAACTTAGGAATTTTCTGAGACTACCCAGATGCTACCCCTTGGGAAATATGCACTAGAAAATGTTATCACATCTGAATGTAAGTACATGCACACAATGCATTTCATAAAAGCCCAAACCTAATAAACAATATGACTTCCAGAAAATTCAATAGTCTACAGCATCAACACTTCAAAACTCAACAACAGAGGCAATTATAGTTTCTACCTCAAAAATTTTATGTGAATTTAGGCACAGGAAGGACTTAAGATTTAGGTATGAAAAATACAGAAAATGTTTCCCTTGTGTTTATTCTTCTTACTAAATTACCAGCTCTGTGAGGGCGGTGTATTCAGAGTACCTGTAACATGGCAGGCACTCAAATGTTTACTGTAACAATGAACACAAATTATTATCAGCCACCAATGAATTACATATTGCATACTGTAGAGGTGATTATTCTATAGTTTTGAATATGACCTAAACAATTTTCTGACATTTAATCCTTGTTAAGTCCTGATGGTAGCCAAGCTATATAGCATTCTATACAATAAAGCTGTAAAGCACAACAGATACTGCCTGACAAACTTTGTTTTAAATCACACATTCAAACCTCCAAACTTTTTAAAGTATAATGCAAGTGTCAAATAAGATAAGTTCTCAAAAGGCAAAGGTTAAAAAAAAGTCTCAAGAAATTTAAAAGTTCACTGAATGCATGCAGTTCCACTAACATTGAGATATACAGTAGATGTATGATCCCAAACAGACCTAAATGTAAATTAAGCCTGAGAAAGTTCAAGAAAACTGAGTTTGTAAAACATGTCTGGCAAACAATTCTGGTATGTGCCACTGCTGGACATACACCTATTTAAAAAATCTGCAAAATTCTTCCATAAAACAAAAGAAGTAAAACCTATTTGACTTTGTTTAATCTAGTGTTTACTAAATACCTTAGGGAACAGTTTGGGAAAATTACTTTCTATGAGGATGGACTTCAATCTTCTCTCTCTTCATATTTAAGGATCAGAGGATCATGGAATCTCAAATTATCTAAGAAATCACCCCATCTATATTTCCATTCTAAAACCACTTGACAGATATTTCCAAGATATATGGCAGAGACAGACATCAAACCCAGAATGACTCAAACGTCTATGGTTCTTAATCACTTTAACAAGTTAAATGCCAAAAATATGGTCAATAACTTACAAAAATTTTCAATTTAATAGCACAAACTTGAATATAACATTGGCCCCATATATTAGATACATGTCTAATAATATCCAACACTTACCATTTCTCTGGCTTCATTTGTGAACTGAAATGTATTTGATAGAACTTCTATGTTGGTTGCTCGTTCTAGTTTGTCTCGTCGGTCTGTTGAAATATTAAACCTAACATGGTCGCCTTCCAGCAGAGTCACCTTGGATTTTGTATCTTTGTCTCCAAAGGGAAGTTCTTTAGGAATCACAAAGTCAACCTTGATACGTCCTGGCAATGGGTCATTCTGAGGAGAAGGAAAAACGATTTTAGCTGGAAATTTCTCATCCTTCTAGTTCTAAGTCAAACAAGAAGAACACACAGCAAACCCATTTTATTTATAATAGATAATTCCCTAAAGAGAAAAGGTGTTGATAACTTAAGTCCAATCTGAAAACTTAACGTTCTATGGCCACATGATACAACTGCACACTACTGCAGTTAAGACCCTTCACTCTGATACCAAGAGATATTATTTAAGGAAAAGAATCTCAGTTTTTTATGTTTCACATTTCCTTAGCAATGACAGTACCCGTAGCCTCACATCCCCAGCAAAAGAAACAAATTTGGGGCGGTGGGGGAGAGGAGCATCAGAGGAAACATCACACCCAAACTACAGTCCAATCCAATCAGGTTTTGTCCAATTTAACCATCACTTCTTCTTCTGGCCTTTTCTCCTTATCACCCAGTAAAAAAGACACATATTCATGAATATATTAATCAGGAGTTTGTCTTTTAATTATGTGAAAAAATATTTAACTGTCCCCATTATCACACAATTATATTAATGGAATGGAATTAAACTTCATATTATTCTATTATTGATGAGGCTAAAGAGGACTCTCCTGAAAAAGACTATTTACCTGGTTTTTACTGGGTACTTTTGGGATAACTTTGGTTACAGTTCCTTCAAAATGTTCAATGCTGATATCTTCAAAAATGACTGTTCCTTGAGGCAATAGTCTGACATCTGTTGCAACTTCTTTACCCTAAATCACAAGGGTTGGGGCGGGGGGTGGAAATCACATAATTTTAAGTATTTCCGAAAAATGTAAACTACTACTGATCTTAAAAGGCCAAAGATCAAGTTAGCCAACTATCTTACATTTCTGTCCTTGATTGTGAATTCCACGTCATCTCCAGGCTGTAAGGTTTCTAGGTCACCCTTAAATTCACTATAGTGAAAGAATATCTCTTTCACAATATCACCTCTTTCAATAAAGCCAAACGCCTCCTAAGGCAAAAACAAAAAATCCCAAGAACATTACTACCACTCACTGTACAAATTTATGATTACAATTTAAAATCAATAAGCTTTTTCATAAAATTACACTGCAGTTGAAACATAATTTGGTAAAGTTTAATATTAATATTAATATTAATTAAATGGCCCATTTTGAAGAATATAATGAATTAGCAACCAAGGAATTTTAAGAGATTACTTTTGAGGTTAACAGTTAAATATTTTTTAAAAGGAAAGACAAAAAAAGAAGGCCTGGGTTTGAAGTGTAAGACTTGAAGTAGTCAAAGAAAAAACTCAAGTTTCTCACATTTGTTGACACTTACCTTCATAGCACAAACTACTCCCTGACAGCGGGCTTGTTTCTTTTTCAACAGCATAATGTTACGAGCACTTACAGCACCAGTACTAGAACAAAATAATGGGGGGGATAAAAGGAGTTAAAAATACATTGGCTAAGTATAATGTGTCTATAGAAACAAACGAGTTTTCTGGGGTTTCAAGAATTTTGTGTCATCACTAAGAGCAAATGTAAGGTTTATGACATCTGATCCCTTTCGTATGGAAAGGACTTTTGCTCAAACTCCGTACCCTTCTAAATTTGACACATACATGTAGATAATTTTTCTTGGGACTGTTGAAACATCTTTTACAAACTTACACTTGGGTATGTGATGTTCTACTCTGCTTTTATATTCCAACAAAAGAACCAAGATGAAGCCACAAGCTGAATGCTTCCTGCTATGGTTTGAATGTTTGTCCCCTCCAAAGCTCATATTGAACCATAATCCCCAATATGGTATTTGAAAGGTGGGGCCTATCTATGCCCTCGTGAGTAGATAAATCCATTTATGGATTTAATGCATTAACTGGCTATCACAGGAATAGACTGGTATATTTATAAGAGGAGGAAGAAAGCACGTTAGTTCGCTCTTGCCCCTTCACCATGTGATGCCCTGAGCAACCTTGAGGGTCTGCAAAGTCGCCACGAGGAAGAAGGCCCTCATCAGATGCACCCTCTTGACCTCTCAGCCTCTAAAACCATAATAAATACGTTTCTTTACAAATTACCAGTTTCAGGTATTCTGTTGTAAGCAGATTAAAACTACCAAATTTGGGGAATACTACAGTTTTAAAAGGTTATCCATTGAACAAACATTTGATTAAGTAGTATGTGCTATAAATTAAGGTACTGGTGATTCAAAAATAAATAAGAGCTAGTCTCTGTTTTCAATGAATATTAATTTAGTAGCTATCCCATCAATTATTTGATTAAACATCCATAAAAGAAAGTTGGGTAAATGCAGTGATTTTAGGGGAATTTGCCATGCTTTTGAAAATAACATCCACCTCCCTTGGTGAATTGAAACCAGTTAGAAACACCCCATGTTGTCACACTGCCCCCATCCTTGAGCAGCAGCAACATAAATTTGATTTTAAAGATAGCATATACCACATAAAATTCAATAGTATTGTTGGTGTAGTTAAGAAAAGAGCTGTAGACCAAGCAATTATTTCTCTTAATTCTTTATTAACAAATGGTATCCCAACTGTGTGCTTTTCACTTCAAAAATTTAACAGACTAACAAAGACACTGAAAAACCCTACTTGCCTTTGCAACTGAATGCAGAGAAAAGGCTTTAGAGTCAGATGGGGATTTAAATGTCTACTGCTTAAAAGCTGTATGAATTTAAGCATGTAACTTTGTGAGAATTTATACCTCATTTTACAAATGGAGAAACTTATCAGGTAAGGATGTTGAGTATTAACAACTACATAAAAAGTATTTTTATGTACATAAAGACCCTCAAATATTCAGCTGATGAATACAAATGCTTGCCACATATAAGAACTTAATAAAGAATTTCAGGGCTGGCTGGTAGCTCACTTGGTTAGAGTGTGGTGTTGGTAAATACAAGTTTAAGGGTTCAGATTCCCATACCTTCCAGCTGCCAAAAAAAAAAAAAAAAAAAAGATTAAAGCCCCCTTAGTGGTTCCCTCCTAAATCTCAAGACACATCTCCCAGTCTCCTATTTCAGATTTAATTGAGGCCTTCAGACTGGAACTAATGATATTTGATCAATCTTATTCCTTCTAGCCTTGCAAGAAGTTAAGTTCAAAACAAATAATTCTGTACATGCTCTTGGGACTCTCCTTCCATGTGCTATTAAAAAGTGCATTCCTAGTACTTTCTCCAACTTATTATTTTAACTTCCTCTCTGCTTGCATCTCTCATCTCTCCCCACCCCAAAATAAAAATAATTCTCTTTGGGCTTTCTTAACTGCACTTTCCTTAACTGCTTATGCCAGTGAATCCTATTTCCTGCCCATTATTAACTTCTAAGTCTCAGACCTACAGATGCAACTGCGTATTTGATATCTCTACCCAGATATACCAAAGACACCTCAAACTCAAATTGCCAAAATAAGTAGAGTTCTCCCACCATGAATACTTTCTCCTACACCTTCTTAGCTCATTAAACCATCATCTGCCCAGTAGACCAGGCCAGAAAAATAGCATTTAAGAATCCCATTAATTCCTATCATACCTCTCTAATTATTAAGCTTGATGATTTTGTCTTCCCAGTGTGACTTGGCTTCTCCACCCCACCACCCCTGGCTTATCTTTCATGTTAACTATCTTATCACCATCTCTAGTCTAGAGCATCTCCTACTCTCCAAAAGCCTACCATCTCCACCACTTCCAAAGATTTAAGCCAATCACAATCTCTTGTTTTAAATCCTTCAACAATTCCTACAATCATGGAATAAAACTCAAACTTCTTCCTATGATCCAGTCAATTCAATAAACTCAAACTCTTGGCCATTTCCCCAAACATGCCATGATATTTCTTCTACCCAAAATGCTTTTTTTCCCTCATCTCCCTAGTGACTTCACACCTTTCCCTCAAAATTTACCTCAAGCACTGCTGCTTTTGCACAACCTTCAATGACCTCTAGAACAGCTCCTTGGAAACTGACCATGTTTTCATTATCTTTCTATTTCTGACACCCTGCATAGTACTTGTCACAGAATACTTAAAGACCCTCAAATATTCAGCTGATGAATAGAAAGTTTTAAAAGATCATGAAAACTATCCAGATTTACAAGTTAGGTTTTTGATTCACTTCAATTGGGGGGGGGGGGGGGGAGGCGCAATCTGGTCATTACAGGGATCGAACCCTGGACCTTGGGGTTATCAGCACCATGCTCTAACCAACTTCACATTTCTTAATGTAAAAAGAACCAAAAAGAATAACCTAAGTGGGAAAAATTTTAAAACAACTTACTGTTTATTGTTATCAATTACAAAGTTTATTTTATCTCCAGTTTCTAGCTGAACATTCCCTTCAACATCTTCAGGGGTGTAAGTCAGATAAAACACTTCCTGTGAATTAATAAGTTGTTATTACTATCTTGACAAGATGCATATTCACTGTATACTGTGATTTACTTAAATATCTCTTATAATGGCATTTTAAGCCAAATTTCTTAAATGCTGTATGACAAGTTGTTTTATTCATATAAACACACTTCCCCTCCATGGTGCTGATGACTTCTGCGAGTCCACAGCTGAGCAGCAATCCAACTTCAAAAAGCTTACACACATGGAAGCATTTGCCCAGAGACTGTAGTTACATTTCAAAAAAACAATTTTTATATAAGGCTTTCCAAACAAAAAAGCTGGAGTTAGTGCTTAAAAGGAACCAGAAAAAAGATCCCCCCCCACAACCCCCCAAAAAGTGATTAAAAGTATTTTACCTTAATGTTCTAACTAAGGTCACACTTGGGCAAACTAAGATACTTGGAAGTCCTATGGATTTTCTTCCTTTTAAATTTTTTGATTATGCTGCACTTGAAGCCTCTTAGAAACCAAATTTAAAACTGATTTTAGCAACTGCAGCTTATGTTTTCTATTCTGAATTTTAAAGTACGCTTATAGATCACATGGTGGATCAGGCAAAGGTTTAAGAAAAATACACAAGTTTACCCCATTACGTTCGTAGCATACACTCCCTGTTGGACTCTGACCCGGGGCAGCTGGAGATTTACTCTCTAAGTTGTGAGGAACAGCGCACACAACCTACCAGTCAAAAAAAAAAAAATTTCCATTGCTAATCATTTCAGGAGCAGCACTGTGCAATATAAACTGAATTTTAATATCCTCTACACTATACACAGGGATGCATTTTAATATGATCCACAAGAGGATGTCATGCTGCCAAGTTTCAAACTTACAGTATATAAACTGACTGTAAGTAAAGACAGGATATATGCAAAAACCCCAATTGAGTCTTGACCATATTTTTATTTCAGGTCAAGAAATGCCAGTGCTTCTGATATAATTTTAAAATAATAATCTTTACATACTATTCTTGCGTGCAAACTGAGGAGATGGGGAGAATCTTCCTTTTCTAATGTGAAAGACACGCAAATAAAGGGCCCTAAGAAAACACAAAGCATCAAAGTCACTAACTTGTCCATTCATTCGTTCTTCAGGGAGGATATCTGTTTTTATCTTCACCAGTTTAATAGCAATGGGTTTCCCAGTCCGCCGGTCAGATGATACTTCAAATTCAACATCATCTAAAATAAAGAACATGTTGTGTTTGATGGACTAATTTTTGCAGACTAATTTTATCTCACTTCTAAACTATACTTAATACAGTATTTGAGTTATCTTAGACCAGCTGGTTCTCCAAATGAGGACCCTGGACAATGGCTTAGGAGCTTAGTAGAAATGCAAATTCTTGGGCCTCACTCCAGACCAATCCAAAGACAAACTCTAGGGATCAAGTACAACAATCTCCCAGGTAATTCTGATACACACTGTTTCAGAGCCACTGTCTTATACTAGGCATTTACACATACCACAAATGAGGCAATATAACAATCATAATCTTTGTCAGGTTTTTTTTTTTTTTAACCTCTGTATCTTACTTTCCTCATCTTTAAAATGAGAATAATTGCTAACAAACAGGGCTGCTGTGAAGATTAACCAAAATCCTGCTCCTATATCATATATCAAATACTCATGTTAGCTATTATTCTGACTACTTTCTCAAAGATGTTTTAAAAAATACACACTGAGACTTTGTAACTTCAGTCCTTTTAATAAGCCAAACATTTTCACATGTGAAAGTGATTTCTATGGCATCAGCCAAGATGATTTTCCATATAGTCCAAGTAGTGGTGACATTCTAAGAGGTATTTTTTTCAGGTACTACCAAAAATAGCACCTGGTAAAAGAATCATAAGTAACATTATAAAAGTTAAATATTTGCATTGGCTTAAAAACTAATAAATAGGTAAACAGTCATCATTAGGGGAAACAACAATTAAATCTTCCAAGCATTTATTGTAAAGATACCCAAAGAGGGCTGGCCAGCTAACTCAGTTGGTTAGAGTGCAGCCTTATAACACCAAAGTTATTAGTTCGGATCCCCATACTGGCCAACAAGCTGCCCCTCTCCGCAAAAAGAGGAAAAAAAAGACATCCCTCAAAAACACCGTCACAATAAAAATTAGTGTTCTGCTAGCTTAATCAGACATACTTCAATAACTGGTAAAAACTAAAAGGCTAAAACTTTTATTCTTATTCCTTAACACTTTTGAAAAATACTCCCATTAACAAGCTGACATGCAAGAGAAATTTTGTGAGTACATTTTTAAAAAGGACAGATTACCTCCTACTTTTAAGTCTTGCAGGTTGCCATTATACTGTGAACAGTGGAAGAAAAGTCTAGCTTGACGTTCTGAACACTGAATAAATCCATAAGAGGTTAACAGTTTTTCAATAACCCCGGTTTCACGCAGTGCTGCTGCAGTACCATTGGGGTACCCATTGTGTCCATTGTTGTGAAGAAGGTTTGGATCAAAGCTCATCTGTTTAAAAAAGAAAAAGAACTCAATATATACAGCTTTGTATATTATCTCCACAGCATACTAAATCTGATTAATAAATCACTAAATCTTCAACATAAAAAAAAAAAAAAAAAAAAAAAAAAAAAAAGGTAAAATAGATGAAGAAAATATTATGGGTTTTTATTACTGAAATGTTAAATTTAGCTAACAAAACATTTCAGAGGAAACGATTTAAATTATTTTGGGGAACTGTCCCCACTTATGGTAAAATTTTCACTTACCAGACAAAATAGACTTTCTGGAGTTTTTAATATTAAGGTAAAGTAACTACGTTAGTGAAAACTGCCTTTATGTTAACTTTAAATTACTAAACCAATTTCAGAACAAAGGAAACTAATATTTAAGAGATGGCAACCCAAAACTGCCAAGACACTTCCTCAAAAGATCTGTTAACAAGTATTTTAAAACGTAGACATCTTAATACTATTTGGTAAGCCATGCATCTTTAAGGCACATTTAAAGTTAGTAGAGATTAATACAATAAAATAAACTTTCTATGCAATACTTAATTCAAACTAGAAAATTCCCAAGTAATGCATGCTTAGGTCCTATAATGGAATATAACCATAAATAATGAGTTATAAAACTTCTAAGACAAAACTCCAAGAATGCAAAAGCTCTTCCATTCTAAAAATGTTCAATCATTTCACAGATACATTTAAAGAGGCCCTTTCATCTGAAAGAAAACCCTTCACCTTTCAAAAACACTGATGAAATCTCTAAATAGGGTCATTTGTTTCTATGATTAGATAGAGCAAAAAACCCCACATTCTTTAGTAAAAGAGGAGCTATTGAAATGTAATGCAATGGAACCTGTTTAGGTTACCAAATACTATCATACTAGACAATTCATTTTATCTTATTTGAGTAAAAGCATGAAAAATTATTTTATAAGTTTAAATGAAACTAAAATTGCACAAAATCCCTGTTACAAAGGCTAGGTCTATAATTTACTATAGTAGCAACATTTCCAAATCATTAAAATTGGTTTTAAACCCTTTCACTGAAATTTAATTTACAAGCATTTTAGTGAGATATTAAGCATTATCAATAAAATGGATATATTTTCATTGGGAAAAAAGAATGACTAAAATTCTACAAAGATAAACCAAACTAAGAGTAAACAATATGTGGGATGGTCAAATCATGCAAATCAAAGCCACAACTGTAGGTGGTTAAGTTCTAATTCTTTTTTGCTAATCACGGTTCTGTTTGACATGTATTAACTTATATAATTTTCACAAAAGCCCATGAGAAAGTATTATTATACTATCCCCATTTTACCAATGAGGAAACAGACACACAGAGGTTAAATGATTTCCCAAAGTCAAATGGTAGAAGACTGAAACTAAGAAGATCTACCTTTATAGTCTGGGCTCTTTACCTGGCAATCTGGTTAAAATACAAGGTCATATTTGTCATATTTAGTGGAGTTTCAGATTCTACATTTCTAACAAGATCTAAGGTGATACAAGTGCTTCTGACTCTTGGACACACTTTGAGCAGCAAGGCCCTAAACTACTAAAGTTATTTTTCAAGATTCCAGGTGAAAGAAATAATTAGGGAAGTTAGAAAGTGAGTCTGCAAGGGCATTTCAGCCAAACTGAGTGGCCCCAAGTCATGCTCTAAACACAAAGCAAGATAAGCTGGGATGACTCTTTTCCTGACTTACAGATCTCTGATACATGGGGGTCCTCTTTTGTTTTTTAGTCCCAGATGAGGTAGAAGATGAAGATAAAGGTAAAGAAAGTGAAGGAAGGGCTGCAGGTGGGGAATGAGGATCTGATGACACAGTAAAAACGTTCTCCATCTCAAACAGCTGTGACAACATAGCATAATGTTTATAACTATGATCAATAATTTAACACACATTTGACAGTCACCCTTTATATCTTTTCAGATTTATTATTAGGTTAGTTTAGCAAAATATAATTTTGTTTAATCAGATTTCTATTGACACAGAAATACCATTAACACTAAAGGGTCAAAATAAAGCCTATTGTTTGAAGCCTTAAAAAATAATCCCATGATATCTACGGTTTTTAAAACTCTGTAAGGATTCTTGTGGTGCTGGAGTGAGACTATTTAGCTCAATTTCTTCTCAATGTCTAGCAACTTTAAATAGAATCCAACATTCTCGATCACTAATCTCTCTACGGTTTGGTACACACAGGTAATCCAAAGGGGTGCAGGGAAAAAAAAAAAATTAAAACTATTCATTTTTTTGCCCAGCGATAAAAATTTGCTTTTATAAATATTTACTAGGTATTTAAAGTAGTGGCCTCACTGAGTCAGTCACATGTTGCACATGTCTCAGGTATTCTGAAGAAAGAGTAGAGAACTCCATAAGAGGTTGATAGTGAAGCCCTCACTTACTCATTTGCTCTCAGCATATTACAGTTTAAATAACTGGACATACAGATTTAGTTATCTAGCTTAACTAAACTACCCTCACAAATAGACAAATGGTTGAAAAAGGCTCCTGCAGAAGAACTTTAGATGGAAGATAAGGTAAACGCAGACGAAGAGCATGGAAGTTAACACTTCTATTCCCATAGTTTGAGCATCCTTAACCCAAAAATCCTTTCAGTGCCATACTGGTGCTCAAAAAGTTTAGGACTTTGGAGCATTTTGGGTTTTGGATGCTCAACCTGTACTAGTTCTTCAACCTCCACACTATGAAAGAAATGACCATCTAATGAGATCTGACATGTCTGCCAAAAAGTTAAGATCAAGACTATGTATCGACTTATATTAGCTGCAATAAAAACACACTACACATATACTGTCCCTGAGATACTAATTCATGATGATATGAAGCTTTTAAAATTAAACACTTAAAAACTAAGCATCCAGAACATAGTATTTCTAGTGAGAAGGGAACATTTCTGCCCTTTTAATAGGTAAACTATTTTTATAATATTGCTGATTTTTGTTATATTGCTAATATGTAATATTAACTTTTATCCTCTGTGTCACTGTTTTACAGTATGCAGCAGTATAATTACACAATTTATAAATATATGTACATACTGACAAAATGTTTTTAACTGACAAACAATATGATCAAACTAAAAAACATTATTGTAGATCACTTAGACCAAGACTTTCAAGCTGTGCTTCTTTCATGTTTAGACTGTAGTTCTTACTACTATACAAATAAGAACACAATGATGTGATCTGTAATACATAAGCCAGAAAGCTGCAAAAAAACTCAAACATATTCTCAATGCCTCCAGTCCTGCCACAATTCCCTGCATGTAGAAAATAAGAATCCTGTTTTTCTCACACAATGGAAAATGAACCAAAATCAGAAGGGATTAGAGCAAGCATATTCTTCTAAGTCTCTCTCTAAAATTGTTCCCTAACAAGGTATTGGAATTTAGGATGTACTGCTCTTGAGTCTCGTCTCACCTCTAAATGTACACCAAAACAGGGTTGAAAAAGAGCTTTTCCATTCTCCCAGAATCTTGCTGACTCGAACTCTCTTTTCTTAGCCTTTTATCCATTTTGGGGGCTTCCCCCCCCCCCCCAAAAGGAAAAACATATACCACTCAAACAACTTTAGATAAGACAATAAGTTAACACTTCTCAAAGAATTTCTAATAATTTGGCTAAACAGTATTTGTATGGCATTGTAAATTATTTTATAATCAGAACCAAAAAACTTAAGATATACTATTAAACAAAATGGAATTTTTGTTTTGTAGTATTTCTACAACTCTATAATTATATAAAAATAGAAAACTAATGGAAGTAAACAGCTCAAAACAGATCTTTGTTTATAAAGAATTATGATAAAGACACCAAAAAAGGGGGTGGTGGTGGTGGAAGGAAGGAACCAAGATGTAAATGTTGTCTGGCTTTTTTCTTCTTTTTTTTAAATAGGGAAAAAACATACCACAGTTTAGCTGCTTGTCTCACAGCATATAAAAAAAAAAATATCCCAGATGGACTGAGTCAAATGCCTTAAAAAAATATTAAAAAACAGATATGTATATTTATAAAATATTTGAAAGGGGAACTTTCTAAGTTTGAAATCAACAAAAAAATTGCAAAGGAAAAGATTAACATTTGATTATATAATAAGTATAAGCTTTTAATACTCAAAGCTAAGGAAAAAAATGTAAATGTAAATATATTATTACAGTACTAAAAGAATTTAAACAAATCAGTAGAACTAAATGACCAGAAAATAAGTTTCTTGAGAGCAGGGACTTTGTTCACAGCTAAATCCCTAGAGTTTAGATAAGCAGTGCCTGGCACATAGTAGGCACTCATTTGTTGAATTACTGAAAGATATTAAGACAAATGAGCAAACAGATTATTCGTGAAGATCATTCATTAAACATTAATCATTAAACGTTTAAAACATTTAACATAAAAATCTTCAATTTTGGCAACAGTCAAAAATCCTGATAAAGCAAACTAGTATTATTCATATACCAAACTAGGAAAGACAGGGCTGGCCAGTTAGCTCACTTGGGAGAGTGTGGTACTGGTAATACCAAGGTCAAGGGTTCAGATCCCCTTACTGGCCAGTTGCAAAATAGGAAAGATATAAAGACTAAAAAATGTTGAGAAAGTGGCCTAAGAACATGCGCACATACTTTTATGGTAGTACACCAATGCAACCTTTCTGAAATGCAGTTTAGTAATATGTATTAAAATGCGTAGATATTTTCCTTAATAATTTTGCTGCAGGAAACTTGTCCTGGGGAAATCCAAAATATGAACAAGGTTTTATGCACAAATGCTCACTGAAATGTTTTGATGATAAATTCCTGGAAACAATTTAAAGTCTAACACTTTATGGTTCAAAAAGTCATACTAATTTATATCATGCTATACAGTCATTAGAAAGGGTATGTAAAAATGCTTATGTTGCAATATAAAATGAGAAACGAAAGACATTACTACAGTACAATTTCAACTCTATTTAAAAAAACCCAGAAATCTAATTTAATGCTCACAAACGAGAAAACACTTGTGTCTTGAGGGCACAGAGCTAAAAATGGTAAATATGGTAGTCCAGTTCTGAATCCATGGTTCACAATCTTAACCACAGCCTTATTCATTCAACCAGAACTGGAGTGCCTATAATGCATCAACACTATTCTAGGTTCTATCCATATACCAGTAAACAAAACAGTAAAAATTCCCAACCTCATGAAGTTTAAACTTTCTACCCTTTTCTATGCATTTAATTTTTTTTTTTCGTCCTTTTTGAGACCGGCCGCACCGCGCTCAGCCAGTGAGCGCTGCGAGTGCACCGGTCATCCCTATATAGGATCCAAACCCGCGGCGGGAACGCTGTTGCGCTCCCAGCACCGCACTCTCCCGAGTGCGCCACGGGCTCGGCCCCCTATGTATTTAATTTTTTTTTTTCGTCCTTTTTGAGACCGGCCGCACCGCGCTCAGCCAGTGAGCGCTGCGAGTGCACCGGTCATCCCTATATAGGATCCAAACCCGCGGCGGGAACGCTGTTGCGCTCCCAGCACCGCACTCTCCCGAGTGCGCCACGGGCTCGGCCCTCTATGTATTTAATTTTTTTGGCAGCTGGCTGGTACGGGGATCCGAACCCTTGACTTTGGTGATATGAATATATTTTGTAGGTTGGCAGGTTAGCTCACTTGGTTATAGTGTCATGCTGATAACACCATGCACCAAGGTCAAGGGTTCATATCCCCATCTGGCCATCTGCCACAACACAAAAAAATATACTTTGAAGGTTGGCCAGTTGGTTAGAATTCAGTGTTATAACGCCGAGCTCACGGGTTAGGACCCCCACACTGGCCAGCTGCCAAAAAAGAAAAACAACCCCCCCCTCCACACACACACATAAATACTTTCTTTCATCTCACAATATCTCTGAGTTGTTTTTTCCTTCAAGTAGTCTGCCTGGCCTCTGCTGACAAAGAATTAGCTTGGAAAAGGTAGCTTATTTCACCATAAGATAGTTTTAGAAGACAGCTCTGTATTTTTATCTAAACATACTATACCTTCCCTTAACTTTTACTGTTTCTTTCAGCTTTCTGAATGCAACCATTCTTCATACTAATTGCTGTCTTCTAGATAGGTTCTAAATAATTATTCATTAAAGTACATTTCACTATTACTCTTATTGTGTACCCTGACCAACACAGAGTCCTTAGTGAGTATGTCTCTTGATTCTGCAGACTAGTTTTAGTAACTCTGCAAAACAAAAAAAAAATACCTGTATCATTTCTTAACAAACCACATTAGTGAAATTAGGTTTTCTCCTTTTAGGACTTCTATAACTGACATTTGTTCCTAAATAAAAAACTGTAACCTGATACTTTTTTAACTTCTTTGGTTGTTTGTAAACCTGAAGTTTCAACTTATAGGGATTCATTTTAAATTATTAGGCTTTATATAGTCTGTCTTTTAATCGTTCTTTGTCCTACCCATAATACCTGTCTCATAAGGTTTCTTTTTTTTTTTTTGTCTTTTTGTCTTTTTCCGTGTCCGGCAACGGATCGCAACCCTCAGTGTCGCCCCCGCACCGGACCGGGGACCAGCAACGGGATCGCAACCCTCGGTGTTGCTCCCGCGCCTCGCTCAGCCAGTGAGCGGGAACCGGTCTGTATGTGGGATCCGAACCCTCGGGCGGGAGCGCCGCCGCGCTTCCCAAGCGGCGCACTATCCAGTGCGCCACCGGGCCGGCCCATATATGTGATAGCTTTTATTGTTAAATTATCTTTATTTTTACTATTAAAGAAAGATTAGTTTCATCTCAAAATCTTACACAATTAGACTATGATTTCTAGCTGTAGATTCATAATAATAACTGAATCTTGACAAAGGAATTTGGAACTCCTAGGGAGATTATATAAATATGATTTCACCTGCATCAAAACATTTTTATCCCCAAAACAAAACGGGATCCGAACCCTCGGACGGGAGCGCCGCCGCGCTTCCCAAGCGGCGCACTATCCAGTGCGCCACCGGGCCGGTCCTCATAAGGTTTCTTAGATGGTTAATTGAGTTGCTTCATATAAAAAGCCTAGAATATGTGCTTAGCACACGGGTACTTACATAACTACTTATTAGTAAAATCTTTGAAAAAAAAAAAGCAGATGGAATGTGGTAGCATACATATTACCTTCATTCAATGTCAATACCTTCATTCACAAATAGGTACCAATGCCAGCTAGTGGCAAGCACTTAGGTACTGGATGTAAAGCAAGATTCCTCCCTTAAGAAGCTAACATTTGGAGAGGGTAGAAAGAAGGAAACATGTCAGTACTAAATATCACCTAGGTTTCAAAGACACCATACAAAGACTGTAACAGGCACTGCTAACTAAAACCCTAACTTCTAAATAGTACAGATGAAACTTCTCTAAGAGACCAATAAATCAAGAGATCAGCATGATATAATCTTGTGTGAGAATTCCCAGTTTGGGCCATAAATATTGTCCTTGCCTAATAAGAGAAAATAAATTAACTTTGTGTTGATATTTTCATTTTAGATAATTTAGAGTATAAAAATTGTCTTCTGAATACCTTTAGGAAAGAAAAGATTAAGATTTCATATTTGACCAAATAATTAGGAAATACAGAATTACAGACTGATTCTCAATAAACCACAAACCTACCTCGCAGTGATAATCAAATATTGCACTTTCAGTAGTATTTGCTGATTCTTCTTTTTCAGCACAAGTTTCAAAGGATGAAAATTGCTAGTATTAAAAAAAAAAAAAAAAAGAGCGAGAGAAAATGATCTACCAAGCTAATAAAGAATACAACTGCTGCTGCACCGGGCAATCTCACAGTACAGCACTGAAGAAAACAAAGACTACTAGCAGCGTTGGGAAGTGCTCTTTCAAAGCTGTTGAGTAGGCACAAACTTCTTGTTTCAGATCAAGTGTTGTGTCTTCAACTTAAGTGTACTCTTCTTTGGTCTTGATGGTGTTACGAGGTTTGTTCCTTGCCTGATCTGAACTTGAAGCAGCAGTTTCAGGTGGTAAAGTCTGTTCTGTTACACTTCATACTAGAGATAAAAAATGAAGACATTAAGTATAACACACATAAAAGAATCAGGGACAGAGGGTGGGAAGAGGAACAAATTCATTTCAATAACTTAGAATCACTGGTCAAGCAAGTAATACAAGAAACTTGGAAGTACACTAACTTAATGTTATCTGAGCAATCTGTCAAGTACTAACAACTATCTCCTTTTGTGTCACATAACCAAGACCTTAAATTATTCCACGGACCTTACAGACCTTTCATCCCCAAATAAGGTCAAAGTTACATAGCATAATATTCAATTCGATAAAAGCATTTTATAAAAAATATAAAAAGTTCCTACTGTCAGAGACCTGATAATCTTGCTAAGACATGCATTACACATGGAGGAAAACCCGAATATAGAACAAAATGGCAAAAATTAATTTGCTCAACTAATATCTGTCACATACTATACCAGAAATACTATTTATTGTTTATTCACCTGTATATGTGCATCAAAGCAAAATGGTGGGCATAGAGAAGGCTTTAAGTAAGTGGTAGAATTTTAACTGAACCTGGAAAAATAGGCAGAATTTTAGGAGAAAGAAAATAGCTGAGCAGTCTGCTATGAAATATCACATAAACCATGACAGAATGTGCCACTAAATTAATTCTAAGTTCCTTGAGAGCAGAGATCACATATTACATGATTTTCTAAGCCTGGCATCAAGTGAAGTTTTCTGCATGAATGACGGTGGCAGCAAGTGTGGCTTGTTGTTTCAGAGGAACTCAACAGGCTAGCCTGGCTAGAACAGACGGCTACATTAAAATGAAATGGGATATGTGCTGTGACAGGTGTAGTGGAGCCAGATTGTGAAGCATTTCAACTTGATGTAACAGGAAACAGAGAGCCCTAGCTTGATGGAAGTGGTATTCAGTCTTGAAATCCTATAGGAGATGACTTAGTGAAGGAAACAAATCTCATTTGAGTGGTTGCAGTAAACAAATGTTTACAGAAGGGGAAAAAAATGAAATATATTTATAAATAAAAATCACAGAATTCTGATTTATATTAGCTATAAAATAATGAGTATTTTGAATTGAGTCCAATGTTAACTAAAATGGTGCTGTTAACTAAAATGATTTCTACAGGGAGAAGAAAAAGGTGGGCATCTTGAGAGATGGACAAAATATTTATTTGAAGATCATCAGATAAATAAGAATGACTAAAAACAAGAATGACTAGAAGGTGAGAGGGCAGAGCTGGTGAAATAGCTTAGACTAGGAGAGCTGAATTCCAATCACTGATTTACTAGTAAATACCATGGACAAGTTATTTAACATCTCTAGGTTTGTGTTTCCTCATGTGCAAAAAGAAAATTCAGTAATAGCTGATGTCTGATCATTTTCTTTATCTACCATTCCATGACTTTATATTGTTACTTCAAATTATCAAATGTTACACTTGTATGATCTTTCAACTTTATTGGATCATTGTATTACCAAGACTAGATATGCCACTGAACAATGGTTGGTTGTCAAATCACTTGGGAAGCTTTAAATAATACCTATGCCGAGTTGCCACAGAGTAAATGTTATTGGCTTGAGGTATGGCTACTTCTTTAATCATCTTGAATCTTTCCTACCCATTCATCTCCATACCCACTGTTACAAGTCTTACTAATATTTCCTTTAAGGTATTTTTTGTATTCATCTCTTGTCCTAAAACACAAATTTAGCCCAGGTGTCTAATACATCCACTAACTTCCAGTGTCTACCCTTTTCATCTCTGTCACATACCACCACCAGACTGATCTATCAAAAACTCCAATTTCACCACATCTCCCCTGTCCAAAATCGTCAGTGATTTTTTCCAGCACTCTAAATGAGAGGCTCTTAATCCTTGCTTCCCAAGGACCTGGGCAACTTTCAAAATAAATAAATAAATTTAACTACAGTACGTTAGGTCCCAGGCATTGGTATATTTTCTGTACCCTCCCTCCCGCCAAGGAATTTCTGACTTGAAGCCAGGGTTAATAACCACTATTCAAGGGGTCTCTGTTCTACCCTTTCATCTTTACTTTCTACTGATCTCTAGTTCTTCTCCCAGATAGGTCGATTCCTTTCTCTAATCCTTAAACACAACTCTTGGAAGATTCTTGAATTCTAGCCTTTTTTGCTCATATGGGTCTTCCCACAAAGAATATAATTTTGCCATTTTCAAAGTGACAAAAACATTTTTCTTAACCATTCTAGGAGACTCACTACCTACTTACTTCCCACTAAGTGGGGCAGTACCACCCACTGCCTGCGCATCAATCTTTTTGGTACCAAATCATTTCTGTACTTTGTTTACTTCATGTTTATGTATATTATTCCTCCATTTATACTTCAAATTTCTGAGAGGCAAACAATTTTTTTTTCTTCAATCACAGCCCCCCTTTAGCACCTAATCCAAGTGCTGCCAAACAACCACAGCAGAAAATAATATAGCAAAAAAGGTAGTTAACCCATAATAGGCAAAAAGACACAATTCAAGTGTAGACAGTTCTACCACCTTTAACTGTATAAAGTTGTAATTACCCAATCGAGAAATAATAATATCTTTTAAAAATACATAATTACTTATAACACTAAGGTCACAGGTCCCCATACTGGCCAGCCTTAAAAATCAAAAATGCAAAACAGGCCAGCTAGCTCAGTTGGTTAGATTGTGGTGTTAAAACACCAAGGTCAAGGGTTCAGATCCTTATACTGGCCGGCTGCAAAAAAACAAAACAAAACAAAACAAAAACCACACACAGAATGGGTATACTGGTTTTACCTTAAAAACCTAGGCCTGTTTGGATCCCTGTACCGGCTAACCATCAAAAACAAGAAAACAAACAAACAAACAAAAAACCTTAAGCCTATTTATGGACCCAAAAAACTAGAGATTAAGGACAAGGTTGTGCGTGTGTGGGGGGCGGGGGGGGCGGAATCAAGAAAAACAATTTATCTTGAAAAACTTGAACTGGATTAACCCAATCTAGGGTGTTGTATTAAGAACTGTCAAGTGTGTCATTTAGAAACACAAATAAGAGACTTTTAGATCTAAAATCTGGAGTATTGCAGGGCCAGTAAGTGGGTACTAATGAGGCTTTTTAGGATCTACTGAAGCTCCCCCAGGTGCCTATAGGGTGTAAAAAGAAAAAAAGGGGGGGGGGAGAGCTCAAACCTATCAACAATCATGAATAACTGGGAGTGGCTGAATTAATATCTTCACATCTATGAGATTTCTGTAGTTAAATAAATGTTTTTCAATCAAATTAATACTGAAGGACTTCAAGGTACTGGTTAGACATTTTAATAATACTGGCTATCCCCTCATACCAGGATTATTTACATTCACTGGTGGGACTGACCTCTTTTGCTTTAACTTTTTGAACATAAGTACCTCTCCTTCTTTCCCCAAAAGCTAGACACTTAAGTCACTTGAAACATAGGGTTTCAATTAAAACACTAGGGAACAATCTAAATGTGGATCTGAAAGTTTCCTTGATTGCTAAGTAATCAACTTCTTTTTCCTTTGCTCAGTATGGAAATGGTATCATTAGTTAATTATCAACTATTACATCATGTTGTTTCAGGAGTTAAAGCTAATTCCTTTACTTGAACTAAATCCAGATGGTTATTCCCTATGTCACCTGTCTTAAAATTATCACCACCTGGTGTGTTATTTACTGTCTCCCTCAGTTTGCTGCTTTATCTCAAAGGCCTAGCAGAGGACAAGCACAGAGTAGACACTAAATTAAAACTCGCAGTTGCTGAACTAATACATTTATGTGGTAAGTAATCCAACTAACAGTAATCACACCATCATTGTGACAAATTATTCTGAACGTATGTACAGCACTCACTTGGAGAGAGTGTTAATAACAAGCTAAACTAGTCTATAAAAGTCTCCCCATCCAACCCACTTCCTTGAGGGAGTACCTTCTTCCTTTGAGAGGAAAACCAAAGACCCAAACAGGTGGGACAGGATTGTGAAGGTTCTCTATTGTCTGACATTTCATTGAGCACAACAATTAAATATTTTTCCAGCAGGGGAAAAAGGCTGATTATGAATATTATTCTTGCCTTAACTTCACAGTTCATATTTCTTGATGCATTAAGTTCAAGCATATCACATTATATAACCAGTGTAACTGAAGCACTTAACAGGTTTCAGTTCAGTTTTATTTTTGGATCTAAGGTAAATGATAAGGTTTAGAAAATTAGGCAATTTAAAACAATAAATCATCACTTGTTGAGAGATTAAAAAAAGAAAATAAAATTGATGCAACTATCTTTTTGCATATGTGTAGTAGTAACAATTGTGCTGGGTTGTTAGTGACCTGAACAGCTATGAAGATATTTAAAATTATATATCTATCATTTAACTGCTTTTACATCCACTAATACTTTGAAGTAGGACAAATGCCAGTGTGGGAATATGTTGATGAAATGCTCTAGACTTAACATCAGAGATCAATGTAGATCAGACCGTTAATTTCTTTGTCTAACACAGATACAGTGCAATCCACATACATAATTAAAAATTTTCTAGCAACCATACTAAAGTCAAAAGAAACAGATGAAATTAAATGTCTTATTTAACCAATTATATTCAAAAAAAAGGGAGGGTTTGCACACATGCATAGAAACGAGTTTGAGGGCCGGCCTGTGGCTCACTCGGGAGAGTGTGGTGCTCATAACTCCAAGGCCACAGGTTCGGATCCCATATAGGGATGGCCGGTTTGCTCACTGGGTGAGCATGGTGCTGACAACACCAAGTCAGGGGTTAAGATCCCCTTACCGGTCATCTTTATAGAAAAAAAGAAATGAGTTTGAAATTACTACTTTCACTTAGCCTTCTTTTTACAGATGAGTTCCAGGGAAGTAAAATGATGTATTCTCAGCTACACAGTATAAAAGTAGGCAAAGTTGTTAACTCCCAGGCATATGTTTTCTCTAATATAATATGTTGCCTTAAGTTCTGGAATAAGTTTTTGACCAAATAATTTAAGGCAGCTTAAAGGAGAGAAAAAAAATGTTTATAAATGGCATAAATTGAAGTTTTTTTTGTTTTTTTTTTTTAAAAAGATGACCGGTAAGGGGATCTCAACCCTTGGCTTGGTGTTGTCAGCACCACGCTCAGCCAGTGAGCAAACCGGCCATCCCTATATAGGATCCGAACCCGTGGCCTTGGTGTTATCAGCACCGCACTCTACCAAGTGAGCCACAGGCCGGCCCGATTTTTAACATTTTTTGAAATCTGATGTTATTTTACAATTCCAGCACATTTCAATTCAGACTAGTCATACTTCAAGTGCACAATAACCACATGTGGCTAGTGTCTACATGTCACAGAGCAGATATAAACTCACCAGAGGAAAAAGGCACTGGTGTGCCTAATAAAGCAATAGTAAATGTAAGGCTCTTGGGTAAAGATTTTCACTAATACAAGGAGGCAGTATCTAGTACAGACTTGACCATAAAAGGGGCGTGTAGTTATTACACTGGAGAAGCAGAAGTGCAAACAACTAATTGGTTATGTACTGGCGGTAGCTACAGACCAATGGATAGCCTGCATGTACAATTTGAGGAAACTGCTGATAAATTTGTTTTCAACTACACACTCATGTTTTTACCTTAGCATAAAAGGATATATTAGATATACAATAAGTTTTGCATTGTTTTACCTAGGTACTCACAAAGGCAAGTGGAAAATATTCTAATATCAAGACAAAGGAATTTTTATTTTTTTATTTTATTCATTTATTTTTTAAAAGATGACCGGTAAGGGGATCTTACCCCTTGACCTGGTTGGTATTGTCAGCACCATGCTCTCCTAAGTGAGCCACGGGCCGGCCCTACAAAGGAATTGTTAAAGTCCTGACTGGGAGAAGAGATTTAACAGCAAGAAATGATGGGACTCAAGATAATAAGTCACTCCCACCACAGCATTTTCACGACTTAAGATATTTTAGCTATTAAATATGACAAATTACAATTATAATTTCTCTAGCTGTAATTCTCTAGTATGGAAAACCCTGAAAGTTTTAACAGCTCTCCATAACACAGTTTTAGTCAAAGATCTTAAAGTAGTTCCCCCTTCGTTTTTTTAAAAGACAAAACTAAGAAAGCACATCAATTCTTTGTGCTTATTTAGCAAGATCTGAAGATTTTCATTTCACTTTGCAATACATTCCTAAAATTCAACCCCTCAGAAATCTGTCCAAAAGGAATTTCACTGTTTCAACTATTTTGTCAAAAGTATGGCCCTCACAACAATGTAAATGTATAAATTAATGCCACCGAACTATCCACTTTAAATTTACTGTTTTAACCTTTTTTATGTTACATATATTTTACCTCAATTTAAAACAAAGAAGGATGGCCCTGCACTGAGTGTCTTTAGGTGGGGGTAGGGGGAAACGGATGGGATGAAGCAGGACTGTACGTCAGCTTTCAGTTTTCATTTGCTAGGAATTTACCAGAATTTTCAACCACACTCTTTAAAGGTCACACTTGTTAAGTCAGAACTTGTTTAGAAAAAAAGAAAAGCTATCTTCTGCGCCTCAAATGCTTTACTTTTCAACTCAGCTGCTATAAATACTCATCTCGATGGTAAACATCCAGAGCAGCTGCAAAACCAAACTACCACCATCTCTTTTATTTCGGTCCTAGAGTTAAAAGAAAGCAAAAAGAAACAAGGTTGAGTATTTATCTACGTTTTATGACGTTGGTATATGCCTATTCAAATATATAAATGCCCTCCTTACCCACACCAAGCGTATCCGTTATTGGATAGTACCAAAAGAACATCCAGGTATTACATTGTTCCTCCTAACTCAAAACAGAAATTACTCAGCGTTTTGATACAATTTGTATTAGTGGGCTATAATTTGGAACCTACATTTTTAAAAAGTAGGTTGGTAGTTCTAGTTGGGAACTGCCAATTCATATCAGCCTGATAAAAAATGTAAGTCAAAAGAATAGTTTTAACTGCCACAGTGCCTTTGAGCACCCTCCTTCCGCCCTGTCTCCCAACTGTTGTAAAGAACACCATTCTTTCACTTATTCGAAGTGCAAAACAAGGAAATTAACTGGCCCAACCTTTTTTTTTTTTTTTTTTTTTTTTGCAGATTGAAGACTGTTTTAGGGAGCGTTCCCTCTCTCACAAGTGAGTCAAACAACAGAACAGCCAACTCGGTATTTCTAAGAGAAAACCTTAAAAGAACCGTGGTACCAAGATTCCGTATCTATAAAATATCGGAGGGTAAAAACCAAGAACGTATTTTCGACTGAGGGTCTAAAAAACTAACTCCACACACAATGACTAAGCCAAGCCATTCATTACACAATGTGGGCCAGGCGCTTGCACCATTACAGCCAGAGGAAGTAGTAGGGAGGACACCGCTGAGTTCCCACAGCTCACACCCTTTCCCCAAGATAGAGAGGGGGGAGTCACATGTCTAAAAGATGAAAGTCTAATTCCCTTTTTCAAGAAGCCGAAGGGGAGAGGAACAGGGGAAGGTTGGGTGTTGCGACCTAGCTCTAGGTAACTGAAAAGGAGGATGCCAATTCTGCCGAGCTACAGGGCCTGAGGCGGCTGGGGAAGGGAAGTGTCTCCAAGCAGTTTCCCTAGATGGAGGGGGTCTCAGTCCACACACAAAGGTGGCGCCACTGCCGCACTGCGCTCTGGTACTCGTAGTCAGATCCCCAAGCCAAGAAACTATAAGGTCCAGAGTCAGATAACGGCCCTCTCCTCTACTCTAGCTCTTTCAGCCTCACACAAAGGACCGCGCCACCACCCCCTCGCCCCGCCCACCGGGACTTGTAGTTCTCGTTTCCCCAGCCAAGCCGCAAAGGGGGAAGCAGCCAGACTACAGCTCCCAGAAGCCTCCGCGCCCGAGCCCCGCCACCCTCTTGCCTCCATCTTGGCTGCGGTCGGAGTCTCCATTTTTCGCTCCCTCCCCCCCACCACTTTAGCCACCATCACCACTACCACCACGCGCACCCCCATGGCCTCAACTTCTCGCTTGAGCTCTGCGGACTGACGTAAGGCTCAAACAGTTGAACGGGAGATAGATGAAAAATCCCAGGGTAGTGACTCAGGGTGAGATCTTCTCTATTCGGAGCTATGGGAGCGCCCACCTTGACTCAGAAGTCTCTCTCGTTACTCTTGGCCTTCTCATCCGCCCTTAACCTGGCTTCTTGCTACCCCTAATTGGACCCTAAGGTCGTACTCACCCCAACAGCTCAGCGCCCCCTCTCCAGCGCCGCCATAAGCAGCACGGCCCGGTACGTAGGAATAAATCTCGCTTCTCTCGCGAGAGTTGCGGACTCCAAGCGCGTGCACGGGAGGGAGGGGGAGAGAGCGTACTCCTAATACGCTTGCGCGCAAGGGCTGAGTGACGCCAACCAATGCGCTGCGCTTAACCACAACCAAGATGGTGGCTACGTTCCTTCCCCGGTGTGCTGCGGACAGCAATCTCGATGTTTACTGACTCCGCTGGGACGCTAGGCGGGGTGGCGGGTGACTTTAGGCGTCTCTGGTCTTTGCAAGCCTGAATATGCTTTAGGCAGTGAGACTGGGGTAAACCTTGAAGGGCGAACAATTCTGGGGGCCTATCCAGGAATGTAAAAAAGATTTTTCTTTTCCCAGCGATAATCCCGAACTCCTCCAACCCCAGTTTGTCCTCTCAGTGCAAGCTTGCTTTCTCTTGTCTACTGCATAAGACTGGAATTTCATTAGTATAAAGTCAGGTTTTTAGCAAGGTATTTTGGAAGTCTAAGGGAGATCTTTGTCTTCCAGAAGCTATATTCCTTGCAACAGATGGACAAGAGTAAAGCTGCATAATCACTAAAAATAAAGACAAACCCCAAACTCCTTCAACTGACCTTTCTAGTCATCTGAAGATATTCATAGTGTATCAAGTAATCAAAGAGGCTGAATCAGTAATTAAAACGTTGAAATCAGGGCAAAGAGATGATTCATCCAATGAGGAAAGAGGGAATGAGAGAGAGGGTTAATTCTGGCCGTGGAAACGTTCAGTGGATTATCCCGTCAAAAAATAGAGCATGCTTCTCTGGTGAGATGAATGCTTTTTCACAAATTCAGTAGTTTTCTCACTTGGTAGTATTAGATAAACAATGACTAGTCACTCACTCTTCTGTGAACTCTCTCACCCACCTTTCGTTTTCAACACATATATTCGGCACCTGGTATGTATAATCAATGGGAAGTTTACAGTAGTAAAGAAAAACAAAATTAAAATAAATAAGAAAACATTAAAAAAAACAGATATGGTGCTGTCCTCAAGGAACTTTCAGTCTTGCATCTTTAAATCACAAAAACAAGTCTAAACATATATATAGGATTAAGTGCAATGAAGAAAACATTGGCTGTATTAAGACAATATATAACCTCCAATTCTGAGCAAATCACCTTGAATTCTAAGAGAAGGCAGTGTCCTATTTCTGTTCAAAGATTTCCTCTCCACCACTGCTGCTGCTGGCTCAGTCCCATGTCTACCACCTCAAAACTACCTTTTTGCTCTCTTTGATGCCTTCCCACGCTTTCCTAAGCACAGATATTTGCTTCACTTTCAATGCTTTCATAGCTCGCTCTATTGCAGTTATTAGTTTTTACTAGCTAGTGGTACTTCAGAACAGGGCCTCTGACATTCATCTTTGCATTCCCGGTTCCTGACAGTGCCCAGCCTAGACAACTCCAAAAGCTTGTTGAATGGATAGCACTGACAAAAGTATGAGAAGTTGTTATAAATCGGAATGTTTCTGGGGAAGAACAGAATGTAAACATTTCAAACCAGCTGTTTTGTTTCCTTTGTCCAATTCTTAAATTGAGATCTCCCCTTCCTGGCAATAGATCTAGTCTGCATATTCTGATATAATGTTACAGAGAAACTGCCCTGGGCTCATGTACTAGATACAGGGTCATGTGAAGCTGTGCTAAAAGTAGAATTAGGTCTAAGAGCACACATTCTCAAATATCACAGCAATGGGAAATATGAAAACTAATAGTCTCACTAAACTCTACCTATTAATAAGAAAAGATAAAGTCTTGATTTCAACCATTACTCATAGCTTCTAAAGACCTTCTTCATAAACCATATGACCATTTCATCATCCTCCTTCTGGAGGTCCCAATTGCCTTTAAATTCCTTCTTGATCCAAAATTAGTATCAACTTACATTTAACACAAAATGCAGATATATATAACCCAGAAATATGCATTTTAACTTCTAATGCATTAAAGAAAGTTAACAGGTGGAATAATTTAATTTAAAACACTAGTTAAAATGATTTATTCTTTCTACAAGTATAACCCATAAACAGAAGTAGGTTTTATTTTCAGAAGATCATTACGCTTAAAGGCAATGATTTTTTTTTCTGATGAATTCTAAAAACTAAAAACTGTAGTTATCTGTTTATTTTCATTTTTTTTTTAAAAAACAAAGTTAATTAAAGCAAATATTGTGAAATCACTTGGAAACCATCTCCTGTATAAAAGGTTCATGGATTTGGGGGAAGACATTTAGTCTATTAAGGAACACCATCAGGAAAAAAAAGGGATAAATTATTTCGGGTTATTCATTATGCTTATTTTTCTACTCTGAGAAACTTAAATAGAAAATGAAATTGAATATGATTTTGTGTTTTTTTCTCTACAATGATCAATAAACACATTATATCTGGAGTCTATCTGAGAATTAAAAGTAAACATTCCTTACACCTTTATACGTTTTTCTTGAGCAATGGTGCACACAATATTTGTCGGTTCTCTGTCAAATGAGAAAAATTAGGTCAATGGAGAGCTTTTTTAAAATTTTAAATGAGTAAATTTATTCAAAATTTTAGAAATGTTTTTATTCTGACATTATGTCCTTCCTATTCAGGAAAGTCAAAGAGGACTTTATTTTATAAAATTGATAATGGACGGTAAAGGAGTCCACATTCAAGGTTTCAGAACAGGAAACTACATCTAGAGCAAAAACTTTCATAAAGAAGAATTATTACCATAAGAACTAATGTAAATAATTTAGATTTGGTCCTAGAGCCCTATAGTGGAAAACTTTTTATTTCTTAACCCTAAACAATTAAAATGTATTATATAAATAAGAATAATATAATAAGAATAACATTAATGTAATAAAATATTAGAATTTAGATAATATAAGAAATAATACAAAGACTGCACAATGCTTTCCTTTAAAATGTTGGCATTGCCTGCTTCTGGACTGGGGTTTCATACATAACAGAGCAGCTCCCTCACTGCGATCTGTTGAGAGTCAGCCCTCAACACAAGGGTTTGTAAAAGAAGAAAAATAAAATGTTGATATTGCAATTAATGGAAATATTATGTGGACATGCTAAGCTGCTGCACCAAAAGTAATCACTATGACATTGTAGCTTTGGGAGTCAGTTAAGCAGAGGGAAGGGTACAGCAAAAGAATATTTTTAATTTAACTTAAATTAGATCCTGATAAAAACTAGTTGTACTTAGAATAAAATCCAAACTCTTTTACCATTGTCTAGAAGGCCCTGAATGATCTAGTCCCCAACTAATTCTCTAACCCCTGGTTCACTGAGATTCAGTACCACTGCTATTTTGGTTCCTCCAATGTTATGAGTTTGTTCTACTTCAAGACCCTTGAATTTACTTTTGCCTCTGCCTGGAATGCAAAAAGCATTTCTCATATCATCACATGCCTGCTACTTTCTCATTATTCAGGTTTCAGCTCAAATGTTACTGACTCACAAAGGCCTTTTCTGAAGTAAAAGTACCCAAGATCACTCTCCATAACATTAGCTTGTTTTATTGTCTTTATTACATGTTTTGCTATCCAAAATTAACACATTTTTGAATTTAGTTGTTTATTGCCCATCTCTCTGTATAAGCTTCAATTCTGTTTGATTCATCGTTGTATCCCTGAAACCTAGGACAGTGACTTACATATGCAGTAAATACTTAATAAATAGTCATTGAATGAATGAGTTACACTTGATACATCATTATTTATGCCCTACCAATAAGAAAATATGCTGCCATTTTCACTATGACATTACTTGGAATTTTTATTTTATGTTTATTAAAAGGGCTATTTTAATCTGATTTTGAAATGTATTTTTATCATGTGTCATTTGTGTTTGTATATAAAGTAAAAAAATAAGCAAAATAAGTTGGTTAAAGTATTCTTAAAATTTATTCAGGGCCGGCCCGGTGGCGCACTGGAGAGGGCGGCGCTTGGGAGCGCGGCGGCGCTCCCGCTGAGGGTTCGGATCCCATGTGGAGACCGGCTCCCGCTCACTGGCTGAGCGCGGTGCGGGCGCAACACTGAGGGTTGCGATCCCGTTACCAGTTAGTAAAAAAGACAAAAAGGAAAAAAAAAATTTCTTCACAAAGTCTAACTCTTCTGAATTTCTTTCTTTGTAGTAATAAATTGGGTCATATTTTAAAAATTCCATTCAAAAGTAAAAAAAGGTAAAAAGATCAACAGACTAGGAAAATATACATTTAAAACCTATGAAACAATATATTAGTATCACAGATATATGATAAATTAATACATATTAATAAGAAAAAGCCAACCAAAAGGAAAAAATACTTGAATGTACATTAAAAAGCCAGTTAAGGCAAATAAAATCTTAAAATTATGCTCAGATTCATTAGTAATTGGGGGAATGTATATTTGTTTTGAGATAATTTTAGACTTAAAGTGTTGGAATGAGCAGAACTGAAGCTTTGTTGAGACCTTAAACTGCATGGGTTTTTGTTTTTTTCTTTTTTTCTTTTTCTTCTTTGTATTTTTTGTATATATATTTTTAAAATTTCTTCCTTTCCCTCTTTCTTTTTTTGACATGGGCTTTAGGGGAAAAAAAAAAAAACATAGAAAAAACCCAGGACACTTTTTTTTTTCTTAGCATGCATTTCTCTGAGTTCCCTCTTCCCATGGTTATTTGATATTTTGAACCTAGGTATGGGGCAAGATGACATTATTTACATAAACGTAAAGTTGTCTTCCAGTCAGCCTGGAGCTGCAGACTTGCCACGAGACACATATTATCCAGACCCTGAGAAACCAAAGAAAACATCAATAAAACTATGCTGATTTCACTCCAAAGCAGGACCCTAATATAACATCAAGGATGGAAACAGAAACCAGACGGAGCTTTGGATAGACCTTCCAGCTGGCTACTTGCATGGAGCCCCCTCAGCTCACACCCACCTCCCTCCTGCTTTTCACTTCAGACGTTCCATTCCCTTGGCCGCCTCTTTAAAAATCCCTCAGTAAATCTGAGTCTTTGAGATGGCTTTAGCCTGGCCATTCTCTCTCCTTCAGGTTTACCAGAGAG